TTATGTCCACTACATTTTTGGATATTGAAGTCTTAAAACCATAAAAGTCAAATATCATGCCCTTCAAAAAAAAAAAAAAAAAAAAAAAGTATATAGTGGTTTTTGAAAGTTGGATAAAAAATCATGAAATACGTTAAAAATTTCATACAGATTTCATTTAAAAGATTTTTACTTCCTACCTCTATGGTTCGTAAGGTCCTGGGGGGGAGGGGGAACGTTGCAGATTCCTTCCTTGTGGGGATTGTTGCGGTGGGATTTCCTCCAGGGTAGAAAGGAGAAAATAAGCCAAATTTTATATTTTCTGAACTATTTGACGGAGAATCTTTTAATTTAGAAATCCTTAATCGTCATTTTCCGCTGATTGTTGTCATCTTTTTTTCATGAAAAATGGGCTGTAAAAACTGGAGAAACTGCCTGATGAAGAAACCACTAGTACCTTTTGTTATCACCAGCTTTTCTTATCTCTTTGGAGCTCTTTGTCGTAGTTAGCAATACGTTCAGGGATGAAACCGTACTTTTTCCTGCAATTTCACAGATGACTCATCGCACCACGTGCTAGTTAAATTATCTTACGTAATTAACGTAATAATAATCTGATCACTACGAAAATAGTTCCAAGGAATACCTGACACAATTGCGCGTCCGATGATATAAATCTTGAGGGTAAATGATGGACTAAAAAGTCATGTTGTTCTTACTTTGCATGAACAATGGCGAACACAATGGGCTCCCATGACTAAACTAGAAATTAATTAATAACTTTTTACGTATGGAGGATACAGGCTTAATCCATGTATCAAAACGCATGTCTTGGCTTCCTCAATAGGATGGCATGATTTACTTAACCTAATTATGAGGACTTACGCGAAAATGACGAATATTGAGGAGCGTGAAAACAGCGACGCTCGACAGTAAACAGCCAGGTGCCTTGCGATAGTTCGGGAAGACACAGGGGCCCGTAATGAAGCTGCTCCCTGTGTATGAATAGTGGTCAATGAGGCAGTTCGCTCTACGCATGCATATCCTATGATGTGAGTGCTGAAACGAGCATTGCTAAGAAGCGCGTAAAAGAGTAAGAGATTTTGCCTACGATTAAAAAATACTAGATTCTGAATACCATAGGAGATTTAGCATTACCCGGGCTGCCACAGGAAGACCTGCTACCAGGGGCGTAGCTAGAGGGGGGCAAGGGGGGCATCTGTCCCCGGGCGCAGAATCCAAGGGGCGCCAAACTGATGTTACGACATTTTAGAATTAAATGTTTTCCTTCCCTTGGCAAGCAGTAGGGGGCGCGAAATCTTCAGTTGTCCCTGGGCGCTGAAAACCCTAGCTACGACTCTGTTCGACGACTGGTCTGTCGAGGGCATCCTGAGCCTGGTCGCCCTGTAAATGACGTCTCTTCTGCCCACTGGATCCAACACCTCCTCACAGTAAAATCAGAATGGCCTACCTGAAGAGCTACTCGCCGAGCTAACCACCCAGCTTCCATCATCCCGATGATTTTTCCCCTCTCGAACTCTGACAGTTGCTGATTTGCTTCGATGGCGGCGTAACGGTATGTCTACTTCAGCATTTCCTTAGCAAAAGACTAAGTACACTGAAACAAGCTCTGCTTACCTGTTTTATACTCCAAGAAGAACGAAGTTCAACGCCCTCCAGTGGCATTACGCAATGACATTGCATTTCTAATCATTTGCATATCTACCTGATTTGCATATCTATCTCACAGTTATTTTTTGGTGCGCAAATTTTTGTGGCAGTGAGTGTAATTTAAAAACATTATGCTCTTAATACTGCTTCCATTCTCAGAGCTTATACGGCCGACTGCCTAATTCCCATCAATCAGTTCTCTTAGCCATTTTTGAGGTCAAGGGGTATCTCCTAACAGAAGTTTGACAGAGCCTAATTAACGCAATGCACAGTACAATTATTAAAATACCAATTAATTCATTTATTTTATCAGCACCTCGCGGTCAGGTTTCTTTACAACTTTTTATTGAATGAGTTTCCATGAATTCGGTGAAAAATGTTTAAAAAAACTTTTTGTGTAAATAATCCATTGAAAGGAAAGAAGAATAATGACATTAATTAATTCTCTAAAGAGCAACGGATTTATGGTAGTACTTATATTGTTTCCTAACATTAATTGTTGAAACTAAGGTAATGAATTCATTTACATTTGGGGTAATGTGTTTCAATTGAACTCACTGAAGAAATTCCATGTCGCCAGCATCAATAATTTTATACTGTATGCTATTAATCTAAATTGTAGCTTTTACTGTAATTATTACTGCAAAGGATCATACTGAAGTTCCGTTTAGTTCGATTTCGCTATAACAAGTTTTCAAAGTTCACGAACTGTGCTTAGAAGACCCAGCTAATCCTTAGAATTTGCTTCAAAACCCTTAAACGCTCAAATGTGTCTTGAAATGGCATCAAGAAACTGAACGATAACGTCTGAAATTGCAATAAACAATATTATAAGTTTCTTTCTCTGTTGTTCATAAATTTGACCTGTTGTATTTTTCACTTTAAAATTTGCCATTGAACCAGAGGTATATTTTAAGTTCTAATTTGTTGTATCCATATTTAATTTCCCTTATTAGAAATGAAAATTTGATTTTATTTATGTTTATTCATTAAATAGCCGAAAAGTTGCAATTATTGCTAGAATTTTAGAGAATAGAAACCTTAATTTAATTTTCTGTGAAAACTGGAATATAATGCGATAAGGTATGGTACAGTATCTCTTTTTTCTGAATTCTTTTTGAACTTTTTAATATCAAAGAAATAGAAAAGGCGGTTCAAAATTTTTAATTTTGTTTTGAAAAAACTGGCACAAAGTGTTCCAGTTAATCCTAAGCTAATTTATTAAAAATATTAAGTATTAGCAGTAAATAAACATTGTTTTGAAACGTTAACTCAGTAAAGAAAAAAAAAAGTTTTCCTTCATTAACATATTTAAAATGTAAACTAAATTATAAAAAAAGGTGTCAGTAATATACAATAATAAAGACACTTATTGGAAATAATGGCAATCAAAAACTTTTTCTGCCATTTGGCCAACTAGGTAAGACCTCTGAATGGTATAAACTCGTACCCGTATTTTCGCGTTTTCCCCATTCGATTTAAACATCAGACCGCTTCGTATTCTTTTCGCTAAGCAGATAACATTCGCGTGGTTTTTCATTAATCAATTAACCAACTTCAATAAAAAATTCAATAATTATCAAAAGGTTTAAGTATTTAACATAATAAAAATAAGGCACAAAAATCAAAATGAAATAAGGCACAAAAATCATCATTATATACTTTATAGATTTGTCAGCTCTTTATTATTGCTTTGTAATTATGTAAATCTATCAAATTTTATAAGGCGTCAGATGATGAATCACTGGAATAGATTGAAATTAACAGCAAGTTGAAGGAAATCAGTTTAAAATTTTATGTATGTTGTCTTCGTCGAATTTAATATTTTAAGGTACAGGAAAGGTAAATAAAGCATTGCAATCGAAAGCTGTTGACTGTACACAAAGCTTCAAGTTTAATAGAGATTCCAGTTTAATTTCTAGTTCCGGCGAATGCATTGATTGCATCGGTGTATTCTTGGTTTTGTCGACGAATTACATGAAACCAGTTCCCTTTAGAAAGTTCTTTTTAAAAGCATAACTCTCTTTAGGCAGATATCCTTTGTATGCTTTGCAACACTGAATTAAAGAACTGAAAATAACAGACGGATTATTTCTTTCTTTATATAAAATGAGAGAAAGGTAGCTTTGAAAATGGGTGTGTCAACAGAATTTAAAGAGAAGCAGGGGTAAAAAAGATTAATAAATCAAATTTCGAAGAACTAACTGATAAAAGAGCTACGCTTTTCAGAAAAGTACAAGTAGAACTGAAAGAACTGATAGATGAAAAATTCTATATTAAAGGCTTAAATTTCAATTTCCATTTTCTTGCTGTCAAAATTTAATGTTATTAGAATAAGTAATTTAAAAGAATCAGCTTATGAAAATTTAAACTGTCAAGTGATACAAATGCTTCAATAATTTTTATCAAAAATATCTAATCTTAAAAACCAATTGTTTTTAATGCTGCTTTAAGTTAAGATCTTTCAGAGATTATCTATGACTATAGTTTCATCCAATCACATCAGAATTTAGAAATTGTGATAATAAATTGAAAAACAGTAAATTACTGTTTGCATCCTTTTTCTGCGTATATAGCTATGATTAAAAATATTATAAGTGTTAGAATATTATTTTTTAAAACAGTCCGCTTTGGATGAATATAACAGCGTGCAAATATTGTTATTTTGAAGGTATGGGGACGCACAGTTACCTCTTTGCCTCAAGTAAAAAAATATATAGGCACGGTTTTGCATTTTGCACATTTTAGTCAAGTATGAAGAAAACGGCAAAGTATTCGAATATTTCACTTCCACACTGCTTCTCAAAAAATGACTCGGTATCTGTAGTTCTTATTAAAAAAGTGAAAATTACTTCTCATTGAAAGCATTATGAGAGAATAGATAAAGTGTTGAAAGCTTGTGCGTGTTTGCCTAGCAAGTAAAAAAAACCAAGTGAACTGCTATTGTTGCGTCAATTGTTACCTTTGTATTAATGAAAGGAGGTTTTAACATGGTCTGGGAAGCAACCCTATTCAATACTTCACGAAAATTTGCTGTCGGTAATTCTGCCTTATATTATCACAATGTTCATATTCAGAAGACGTGAAAAGAAGTTTATCAGATTTATCACTTCATTACTCTTCATTCAACAACGGAAAACTTCCACAAACGAGCAAACTATGTCGTAACTGCCAATCCCGAAACCTCGTTTGATCTTTCTCTTGCTCCTTAAGTAAGCCATCCCTAGAAGGCGGGAAGGAGGTTCTCAACTTCCCTTGCCTATATTTGGGAGGCTCGCTGCTTGCAACATTTCGAACCCCGTTCAGCTCTAACCTCCCTCTCACCAACTTATTTTTTTGTTTTACTTCATTCACTTCTTCCCCATCTCGGTTTGAGTTTTTATTTATCTTTATTGTTATTATTGGTCGTATCGGAGTCGTTGTTTTGACGGCGGCGCTGTTCCGTTCTTCTGTCAGATTGCGGTGATAACCGGAGAGTGGAAGTTGCGAAAAGTTTTTCCTCCTGCATCTCGTTGGACTTAAACTTGCTTAGCATAAACGTGAGCGGTGAAAGAGAACAGCTGGTAAGTTCCTTTAGATTCCATGGCATGTGTATATGAAAGATTTGAACACTGAATTATCAAACAACTTTTACAGTGCATCATAGAAATTTTTTGGATAACTTCTCCAATGATAAAAATTGTAATTATGAATTGAATTGTAATTAGGAATTATATTACATTATTTCCTTTTAACTTTATTAGAAGTATTAAAATTTCTATCAGGATACTAATACTTGCGTATTTTGGGGGAACAAAAAATGCCGGGAATTCAATTGTTGATATTTTAGGTAGTTTAATTAATTTTAATGTGAAGAAGCATGCAATGGATTGTATTCAGATATTGTTATGCATTCTTAAAAATTTCAATAAATAAGAACGTAATACGCAATTTCTTCATTTAAATATTCGATTTTAATAAGATATTTTTTAAAAAACCCGAATACTTCATCTAAACAAGGTGAAATTTTATTAAAGTAAAATTATATTACTTTACTTAATGATGCATGATAATTAATCAGAGATTTCAACTAAAATATTTAGGCAAAGAATGGATAAACAGATTATTATTATTATTATTATTATTATTATTATTTTGTGTGTGTGTGTCTATAGCTAACTTATGAAACTTAGGAAAATACAGTTACTGTGTTTTTATTAGAATGCAGTATGAATACCCACATATTTCGCTTTCGTTCCAAACTAATGTAATTTTTTTTAACTTCTTGCTGCTAATGTTTATGTTCTTGCAAATTAATATTATATATACCGAAATATATTTATTTTGATTCTGCGTTCTTATGGAGTTAAATTTTCTCTGCAAAGTAATTCAAAGAACTGTGAATTTTGGCATTGATTACTCTGTCTCAAATAGATACAGGAACTAATTAGTTAATATTTTAATGCATCATATCATAAACAGTTAATAAATACCTAAGCATTTCTAAATTTAAATATTATGAAACGATTTTGTCAAAAGGGTGTTCTCTCTTATATATGCTGTACTCAAAAATTGAAAAGCTTATTTTTTAGGTTATATTTTAATTTGAACTTTACTATCATTTTTCTTTCTGCAGATGAAAGGTTGGCATATTATTGTTTGGAGTTAAATAGTTTAATTAACTTCTTTTTATTAACTTCTTTTTATTCTGATATAAGATTTCGATTTGTTTTGTGCCATTTTACTGTTTATAAAAAAACTACATCCCGTGGAACGAAAACAAATTGATCCTTTGAAACCTACTTTCTTTTTATGCTTTTAACGTATGCGTCCGTATCTTCATACGTTGCACTAACTTGCAACTCAGTACCTTGCGTAACTTAATCATAAGGCTGGGCAGGGATTACTTTTCGGTATTTTAATCTAGCGTCCGGATCCTTTTGATAGTGTTCACAAACTAGGAATATATTTTAAAATCTCTTCACATATAATTTCCCCAGGAGTATGATTTATTTCAGATACTAGTATTTTTGTTACTTAATAAACAGTCTAATGTACTAGTTTGATTAAACTAGTTTGACTTTTACTATTTTCTTTAGTATTGCGACTAAAGGGATGATATTTTGCATTGGTTACTTTGCTAGTTAGAGCATTCTTTCAATACCAATACAACTGATGCAAAATTATCATTCATATTGCATTAACACTTATTAACCTATATTTGTCTTATTAACTTACATTTGTAAATATTTTATCATGGCACTTAAAAAGTTTTTAACGCACCTTCAATAAAAATATAATACAACCTGTTTTTTCGTGATGACACTCCAAAGTATCTCATATATTGAAAATATCAGAAACTGATATATTAATTTCATGGAGTAATATTCGTGAAGCAAGCCCTTTCACAAAAACAAAACATAGCCTGTTTTGAATTTCACTACTTAATCATGCTTTAGAGACATTAGGTATTTTTTTGGAAGCAGGCAAAATGAAAAATTAGAACTTCTGGAACCACGGACGTCACGAATACCGGCTCAGCGTGCAGAACCACTACGCTAGGAAGGCGTGAGAAATACCTTATAATGCATGATTAGTGCAGTATACAAATTAATACTTACATATTACAAATGTGATTCAAATTAATAATTAGCTACATAACTTAACCCCTAATATGAATAATATTACGTTAAAAATTCTAAAAGAAAGCTTTTCATTAAATGATAAAAATTATTCATTGCATTTCATGTGATTTGATAGAAACTTCGTAACTTAATATATTCATTAATCAATTTCTTTAAAAAATTAATTAAAAGCCCTTAATATAATATTAATCCTTCAGATTTACCTTCAATGCGTTGCATAAAGTATATGCTTAGTATGCTTTAAATATCGTCAAACAACTAAAACAAATTCCTATCGTATGTTCATTTTTTAATATCCATTACAATTTAAATTGCTTTATAAGAAAGTCTTAATATTACTCAGACGTTTTAGCAAAATTTCTCTCAAATCAATTTGGTCGCTGTAATGACGTAGATTCGTACTGATAACTCCCTTATCCCCAGTCTCGAAACCCAATTCAGGTTTTGCCCATTTAGAATAACTTAATGGCTATGGTATTTTATGGTACGGAAGTCCAGTTCAAAGGAGCATACAGTCGGATGGCGTACGACTGCAATCTGCTTTAAACTGCACTTTTATATATCGTGTAGTTCTCGTATCTACTTCATTGCTGCTGAGGACAGCAGTTGTGCGTTATAGTTCAGTCTGTTCCTGCCTGATATCTTTTTTTGAGATTAATTGCACATTTTGCATTTCATGTAATTTTCCACCTGAAATACAGCTTCTAAACAATACAATACAACTACACATTACGCCGACATTTATCATGCATGTTGCAAAGTGATTGCTTTCTAGTATCTTAAATAGTACAAGTGCATAAATGAAAATGCGCTGTCATTTATCAATTCTATTCAGAAGTACTATCATTTGAAATTAAAAATTCCTAAATTTTATTTATTAAAATGAAAATATCATTTGTGTCAGCAGTTCGATCCAATTATTCCTAATATTGACTCTTCAGAAACGTACCCTCAACATGTGGTGATCTTTACTTTCCAACGTAGTATGTTAAATCTATGATATAATTGTATGGCTAAAATGGTAATTTTACACAAAACATCGATATCTGTTTTTATCATGTTTCTAATAATTTCAGTATTTCATTTGCGGATAGCAACAAGTAAACTCCTCCGCTTCCGGGAGAGCCGGAAGTGAGAAAAATTTCTTTTGGCCACAAAAGGCCTGAATTCTCATGAAATCGTAAGTGTTGACTTGTGGCGCATTTTATCTTGGAAAAAGGCAAATTTATTTAGTGTTTCGAGAGATATGTGAGCTAAGACGTTGCTTCGTAATTGGACTAGTGCAGCCAGAATGCTGTCCCCGCTCGTGACGTCATTCACGGAACACCAACGCAAAGAGCTAATTAAAGCTCTACTTAGAAAGTATGAAAAGTTTCCATTGATCGTTTTCACTCAGACAACCGGCTTCAGACAGGGAACAAAAAAAGGGCCACTTTAGAAAAGCGTTTATTATATTTCTCTTTGTTGAGAGAAAGAAGTACTGGAGAAGAAAACTAGAAACTGCATTAAAAAAATAATTCCTAACAAAAGTTTTGGGGTAGTTAATCTTAGTATGCGGCTACATTCCAATTTCTGACGGAAAGTCTTCAAATCGAATTGTATATTTTTCTTAGCGAAACGTAAATTGAGAAATGGCCATCATACCGAATCGTGAGGGTTATTCATTTCCAAATTAAAAATGTGTACCATTCAAACCTACATTTTCCGAAATAGGATCTTTATGAGCTAAAGAATTTTAAAAGAAAAGCAATTAATTATTTTAAAAACATAATTATAAAACAAATCTGAAAGGGGTTCAGATTTTAGCGATCGCCCAAAAGGACTCTTTTAAAGTTTAGCAGTAGAAATTATCGATAGAGATGGCTCATCGATGATCACTTGATGGAATGACGAAACGTTTTATAGGATATTAATTAGGTGAATATGCATTTAAATTCGACAAACACTGAGGACTTTATAAATCTTCTATATATTTAAAATGTGAAAAAATATGCAATGTTATTCTATAAAAACATTTAATGTGTTTAATTAGATATATGATGAATTAAATGCATTTTTATCTAAATCAATCAGATTAAAAAATAATATTCTAATGAACTAAACCTACTTTTTAAATACTTTTGTTTATTTCATTAATTAATAACAGATTAAATATGAAAGAATAATGTCTTACTTTTTTCCGAATGTCAAGAGATGCGAATGAAAATTGAAATAACGCAAAATCGTGTTTCCAGACTAAAAGCCCTTTTGGGCTAAAAAATAAGTAATAATAGAATTATAAAAATGTTAGTTTGGTGGTCAATATTTAGTTGGAATTTGTTAGCTTTTACATTTCTTAGCGCCACCAGACTCGTGCAGAGATTTAATTAAATTTTTAGTATATTATAAGCGTTAAAAATAATGCTTATTTCGTAATGTAAATTCTTGTGTAATGATATAAAGTTGTAAGTAAAACCTCTTGCAAGTTTCGTGTCTATCACTTAAGTAAATAAAAATTACAATCCGATATATTTTATCTATAAACGCTTCAAATAATTTACAGCCGTATGCAGAAGGTTTGTTTAGTTTAAAATGGAAAACCTGCGCGCATCTTTTCCTTTTTCGCATAAAAATTATAGTTCTAGCAGAGCCCAGATGATCGTTTGCCCTGCTTATGCAAGATTCAACTTCAATCCTTGAACTTTTTCCTTGAAATGGAACTGCAAAATCATGAGTTTCTGACCCTTTTCAAAGTGGGCCATCAGTTCTCCTGATCCAAGTCTGGACTGGTTCCTGAACATTCATTATTCTCTCTTCATTTCCTTTGACTGATTTCCATAAATTGTTCAAGGTACTGAAATACTTCTAATTTTCAAATCTTAACAGTAATTATAACTTTTGTAATTATAATATTTCGAAACAAGTTTTGTCTTTGTTCCATAAAGCAAGGCTGTTCTTAT